AGTTCCAAGAGAGGGGGGCTATTGCCCTCTTAACCACCCCTTTAAACCCGCTCCTGATCAGAAGATGGTTAATGATTTCGATATTTTGGAGTACCATAATTTGTGATCATAAATTATTTTTATTAAGAATTTCTGAAGCGTAAATTTAATTTAATTTCATAACCAACATTTAATTGTATTTATTATTTATGTATTTATTAAAAAATGCGGCTAATATCAATATTTATTATTTTGATCTCGATTGAATGACATAAAATAAATAGAGAAGTCATATTTATAAATATACAGTGTAGTTATTCAGTGAGCCAAAATTAGATTTATTATGACTTGCATTTATCCTTTTTTTTATAGGGGTCCATTCTGAAATAATAAATTATTAGTTACTCAGAGTTAGTACCTCATAACCCTAATTTATTTTTATGCCATCATAGTTCATAAAAACTCAATAATAATATTACATACACAGATGATATTGAAAAATTAATAAACAGCATAAGTCCATAACTTCAATAAATAAAATGGTATAAAAATATAGTTTATAGGTTCTCCATTAAATTTATTTTTCCTGAAACTTTCTAAGGTAGACAAACAATAATATGTATCAAGTTCTAAAGTTGTTTCAAATATTAAATTACACGAATTTTGTTTAGTAAATTTGGCGAATGCAAGATTTGCAATTATTTTCAATGACATATTGTTTAGAAATTTAAATTAAAAATTAATTTTAAATTATTCAAAATAATATATCCTGTAAAAAATGTAATCTATCTAAATAAACAAAATTCTAATATTAGTTTAAAAATATAATTAAGTTATATTCGTGAATAAGTATGATAAGATTCAGTGGCGTAAATTGGATCTAATTTTTGGGATTTAGGTGCATGTTTTCGAAAATCAAGCTTTAGAATGCCGAGTTTAAGAATGACAATATTTAAAAAAATTATATTTTAGAATATGAAACTTTTAGAAAATCTGTGTTTTAGAATATAAAATATTTTCAATCATTTATTATCAACTCATCCTGGTATACATTCATTTATCTCCAAAATTCAAAAAGAACAACATGCAACTGAAGCAACAATCGAATCGTTGATGATTCTAATTATAATTTAGATGAATTTATGAAAGCTATTGCTAATAATCTTAAGTATTAACAATTATTATATTTATTTTTTATCATAAAAGAACTATTAGAAAACATTATATATGCGAGTAAACAGCATAAAAAATAAAAATATTTCTAACAATTTAAATTCTAAAAATTTTATTTTCTAAAACACAGTGTTTCTACAACTTGTATTCTAAAACCCAGCATTTTAAAATATGACTTTCTAAAACCTGCCTCAATATTAATTTATGGTGGTACAGAGGCATATTTTCAACTTATATTTTCCAACACACCAACTTTCCAATTTCCCAAGTAAAAATATTCTTTTAGAAAAATATCAACTGACACAGAAAAAAATTATGATATATCTGCAATATATGTATACATAATAACAATGAAAACAAAATGATCGAGTACAACCATTAATTAGTAAAACAATTAAGAAATGTATAAAATATAATTATGTTCTTGCACTTGTTTTTAAAATCCATCGTTCCACGGAAACAGTTATTTTTACACTTAAAACTATTCTTACCATTCTATTGTTATATTTTATGTACAATTGTACTATGCGCTCTAATGATCACGATGAGGAGTAACGCTCGCTATCAAGCTAACAACATGAGTTATAATTAATCCATAAAAATATAAAAAAAAAAGATAAAATTCTATTGATGAGTTAATATCAGTTTGCAGAGAAATTAATAAAATAATTGTATAATACCTTTTGTTTGATCAATCAAGCTTTAACAAGTTTAAATTACGAAAGAAAGATACAGGATTCATTAATTTCTAAAAATAAAGTATCCAAAAAATATAAATATAAAAAAAAAATTATTTTATATATTGTAGAAATTTGAACACTTATTTTTCAAACTGTAATCGCTATTTATACATTTACTATTTATATCAACCTACTTATTTTTAATTTATTTATTCATAGATACAAGTATAAAAATGACTGTATATCATACTTGACCAAATATATAACATTGAATGACGTTAACTCGTTTATCGTACGTTGATTACATAGAGATCCTTAGTTCTGGGTTAGATTGAAATGCACACTGTGGTCTTGCAGATATCAAAATGTTTTCAATTTTTATTTTTTTTATTTTTAATTTTTTTAATTTTTAATTTTTCGAAAAATATACTGTATTAATATTATATGAAGAAAAAAAGGTATGCTGAGTACATAATTCCGTCGAAAACTAAGAAGTATTAAACAGAGTATTGACAACATTACAACGATGAATTCGATTAGAATTGCACGTGGGCTGCAACAATTCAAGGTCGCTATTTTTTAACGAGTTTGACGGTTGGTATTAATTTGTTTCGAAAGTCGAAATAGTTTTAAACACAGACCTACAAGCAATCGTAACTGACACCTGTTTATACAAAAAGAAAATATACATTTTGTGCGTATTATATTTATACAGAACGAACGGACGTTGACATGCGGTTGAAGCCTAAATTCGTTTATTTTACGTTATTTTACCTTTAATCATGGTCTGCGTGGCCACGTGCGCCACTTCCACACGGAACAGCGTCATGATAGTATTATGTGACGGATGCGTTGGGTTTCACCACAACAGTAACGGTATGGCACGCGATCGCATAAAAGTCGAGGACGAAAATGATAAAATAGCCTTGAGCTGCACCTACGACGATTACCGTGTTTGCGCGTGTTGCTCCGACGATGCTGAAGAAATTGAAAAGTGCAAATACCGGTGGGACGCGGGACCGGACGACCGACAGGAGATCGACGTACGTCTGTCGCACGTGAACGTTATGGACCAACTGGTTCACGATTTCGCAAGCAATAATTTGTGCTGCATCGGTAGTGTGCCTTCACAATTGTAATAACACCATCAACGGTGTAAGCGGTGAAAAAACGAATAAAAAATAATGAAACGAAAAAAATGAACACCTGCAAAATGTTTACACACATAGTATCTCTGGACACAGAGTACGTACGTTTATCTTGCTCGCGATTAGCATAGGTGATTTATAACACACTAACGTGCGACCGCGTCGTCCTGATAGTTCTATGGCACGAATTATTACAATACTTGCGCGGGCGCTACGACCGCCGCGCAGGTGGGGCACCGCAGCCGACGACTTTATCCTACTTATGTACATAAAAAAATTATGACACGGTCAATACGCTTTGCATACCCACCTAGTGCAGTATTAAGGTTATTTTATATAAGGCTGGGTGACGGTAAGTTGAAAAGCAAAAATTAACTTTAAACACTCATTTTTAGCGAGTTTGGTATACATAATCAACAACGATATTTCCTAAGTACTAACTCGATGATGTAAATGATTTATTTTGTGTGCCACTCGTTGGATAATGTGGATTTAATCCAGAAATGTTCAAGACTGAATTCAGTTTTTTTTCAAACATTCAAATTGTTATTATTATGTTTGTATCATGACCTATAAATGTTAACGTAACTTATTACATAACAATATCTTGAAAAAATAATGAACTGAACAATGATTTTCCAATTATGTTAAAAAGGAAAATCCTCTCATACTTGAATTATTTTGAAATATTTAAATTTAATTTGTTTTCAACTACCTTGTAATTTGACGAAGTTAAAAATAAAATGTAGACTATTTTCAATTTGACTACTTTTTTTTTTAAAGTAATTTGGAGTTTAAAGTTTAAGTTTAGAGTTTAAGTTAATACATTACAACAATATTATTATAAGCTTTCAAATTACTTCTAATCGCCCATTGTATGTTTCAATATGACGATTTTGAGAGATCGGAGGCGTCGAAACAAAAATATTATATGCCGATCAATATTGGTGTGGTCGGTCCGAACCACGATCGTGGGAAAGACGTCATATTTATGGGCGTTACCACGGTGACCAGCCTAGTTCGTTGGTGGTAAGCATTTTGCATGTAACAAAGTTGCGTGCTTCCCATTGACGAAACTATCATGCAGAACTTTTTGAAAAAAAAAAAATATCGCTGACGTGATGATGTCAAGATGTAAGGAAAGGTTCTGCACGATAATGATGTAGTCGATTGAAACGAAACGACCAGAAAATATTACTTAATACCATTTTTAACCATACCTAGTTTAGTTAAAAATAACTTTATTATTATAACTAGATTTTATTTAATGATTAAATGAACTTAATATTATATTTTGACTAAAAGGATCATACATAAACTTGTTTATCCGCACTACACGGAGATTATAAGTATTATTAATAATGATGTTAAACGTATTTTTTAGATAAATGTGAAAATAAAATAAAATTAGTCATAACGATAAAGTAGCACAAAAACATCAAAAAACAATTATTTTAATTCGTATATTTTGGTTCTAAATGTAGTTAATTTTAACATATTATAGTTGGCCTTTTTATTTAATTTTAGTTAATTTTAACAAATTTATCAAATTAAATTTTTAAGTATTTTGACATGGTTATTCTTCAACTATAATCTTACACTTTGAAAGGGAAACAAATGTCTTAGAAATAAAATAAATTTAAAATTTAAGATCAATGTAATATTTACACATTTTTATTAATTTTATGTTGAAAATGAAAATCTAATAGTATTTTATATGACAACGTTAATGAATGCCAATATTACATTTATTAAAACGTAATGATCATCCAATAACCGCAATAAATAAAAGATATTTTATTTTTGAATTATAGTTACAACTACAATATTTTATTCAAAACGCGTAATGCACACGTTAGGGTGAATATCTGGGTTAATTTTTCGTCTGTATAAAAACTCATTCCATTTCAGTAAAATTATATTCGATGATTTCAGAATTATTTTTAAGTACAACTTGTATTTTATCGAACTCATTAGTTTGATATCCTGTTTAATTCATTATACAACAATATCTACTTACTTTCAAGTTCTGCTTTGTCATTTGTCGAAACACAAGTTTTGTTATCTTTAATTTCTTCCAAACAAAAACGGAGACAATATTCATTTTCTCGGCACCATTGTCTTAGCTGGTTCTGAAAATTAAAACATGAAAACACTAAAAATTATAATTAAATATTATTTACTTACGATTTCCGTAATTGTGAGGTTAGAACTGGGGTAAGTTACTAGTTTGGAAAGCACTTGTTCGAAGTAATTCAATTGTAACCGACTCCTAATAATGAGTTTACGAACGGAATCTGAAGAGTCTTGTTCAAACGTTTCATCATCAAGCTAGAATAATAAAAACAATTGAAAATAGTTATTTTATTGATGACACTCAAAGTACTTACACAACTTGGTCTTCCTATGCTAGAAGCGCAATCAGATTGACTGTCAATATATTTCCTGTAGTCATCGCCAAAATCTAGAAGTCGTCTAACGGAATCTGGATCTGGTGGGTCCTCACTGTACGGTTCACTTAAGTACTTTTCTTGATAACTATCCCAAGCCTGCTCGGAAAATGAACTAAAATCGGTTGTACCAGATGGCAACTGAGTAGTTAAGGGGAATCTTTTTTCTCTTGGTGTAACAGCACCAAATTCACCCAAACGAAATACAGGCATTTTTATCGGACGTTTACGCGTTGTTGGGCGTTTTGAATCCTTGGCTGTCTCTTCTTCAGTTTCTGAATCCATTCGTTGTGAATCATTTTGAGGAATACCACATAAAGAGCCAGAAAATGAACCAAATGCAGTTATTTCGTTGTAGGGAACAGATGTTATAGAATTGACTACAGATGATAGACTATCAGCAGATCCACTTTTACTTTTTCTTTCCTATATATACAAAGAATTAAATTAATACTAAAATTATACACGCACCAACCAAACACGCACGAACACAAACACACACACACGCACATACACAAATATCAGATATATTACTTACCATGGTACTCTTTCTTCTGTGTTTGAGTTTACGCCGCCTAAGAGAATTGGTGTTAAAAGATCCACAACAGTCTTGCGTTTGAGTTGCTGTGGACTCCTCAATAGTTGACGAGTCTCTGCCATTTACAGATACTTGTTCATGAGAAATCTGGTTCAGAGCTGATTCAGAAACGGATAAATGGCATGATTCAGTCAAGAATCTTGCTTTTGGAGTACTTTGAGGGAGACCAGACATGCTAACAGGTCTTAGTGAGTTTCCTGAATTTGTTTTTGATCTTAGAACAACCTGAAAATTGGATTTAGTAACTATAACATAATATTCATAATTTTATTTGATATAACTAGATTACCTTTGAAGGGCTATAATCATTGATATGTCCTGGGTTTGAAGAAAAATCCAGATCAGTAGATTGCATTATGGTTATATCACACGATTGTGATAAATGTGAATGATTGTCCGAACTGAAATGTTGATCATCATCTTCTGTAGTATATTCACCACTCGCATCACAGCTGTCAGCAATGAATTCTTCATTCTAGAAATACAATTATTTATGTAACATTTTGATTTTAATTAAATAAATATAAAAACCATATATTACTTCAGAATTAAAGTTATCATGTTTGAAATTTCTTTTTTTCACACCACTACCCGATATCCAAAGTTTGTCAGGGTTTTTATTTTTAGAGACTGACCAATTAACGTTTTCGACAAGAGCTTTGATTTCTTCTAAATTTGCTCGTTCCGCCAAAGACACATGCACATCAGGATTTTTTACTTCTGTCATCTTGTTTGTACTGTAAATCCACTCTTCTTCTGACGATTCTGATGTTTTTACTTCACTTTCTACAACGAACTTTTTTTGGGATTCTTGCTCCGAATCAGTGTCTAAATGTTTGTAGTAGAAAGTGGCTAAGTTTGGTCCTTTTCTATCCGACCTGTAAGACATAAAAATGTTAGTATAACAAAACTTTTTCGACTTGCAAGTTTTTTTTCTTCAAGAATTTGATTTACTTATGGAAATTAGCCGTATCATCAAATGATATTCGTTCAGATTGAAGCACAGGAGATGGTGAAGTTTCTGTTTCCATTTCACAGCTATCGTATTTATTCTAAATATTAAATTGAATTATTTATTTTATTTTTAATTAAATAAAGTTACGTCAATACTTACGTTTGTAAGATAAGACAATTTATGATCGACTAGCCGTGGACATTTGTGAACCGGTTCTTCATCACAATCCGAAGAACTATTACTGTCCTACAAAAAAAAAAAAAAAATTGTACACGTTTTATGTAGCTAGTTACAAAAACATTAATCCTATTACGTTACATTAACTTCTGTTAAATGGATTACTCCGAAACTATAAGAATTTTCTAGCTTAACCAATGATCCAGAAAATTAGTTCAACATACCTTTCGACATTTCTTTACAGTAAGACTTTCGATAAAACAAATCCACTCTAACGATCTTATGTATAAAAGTTGCCAACGGTGTTCGAAATTTTTCGCTTTTCTCGTCAATAGCGGTACAGTTTGCACTAACTCTTGATGGGTCGGGTTTGCAGTTTGATGCTCGTCAGCTAGCCATTTGCAATACTTCAACACCAAACGGATACATTTGCCTTTTGTTTCAATATCACAATGGATAGACTAAAAATGAAAATATAATATCAAATAAAATACCATTTCATAGAAATAGAGTTTAATCAAATACCTTAAATTAAATTACTAAATCTATAATAATAATTATTGTGCTGATTCATGTTGTATACAACATATGAAATAATTTTTTTGATATAATTTTTCTGTTAAATTATGTAAAATTACATACAATAAATTTATAAAAACTGAATTTTATTAAATTAAGACGGAAAATCATACTACATATTGCTGTGAAATAGTTAAAATAAATAAATACCAAAAATTGTCCGTTAAAATATAGTTAGTTTAAATAACATATATTTATTTATATATTTGTTTAGTCTTATTGTAGTTAATATTAACTTTAATGCAATTATTTGGCGAATTTATAAAATGGTTACAACTTATAATTTAAATAAAACATAAATGTAGAATTTATTTTGAATTTATTCAAAGTATTATAATAGTAAATGTAATTTGATATAAATCACCTTATTAACATTATTTTGAGTATTTTTATGATACATTATTTATATTATTCAATGTCATGTTGTGGTCTTCCAATTTAAATACTGTCTATAATAAAGAGTTATTTATAATTAAATTGGTGTCTTTCCAATAGGCATTATATAATAATGTTCTCATTACTGCATTGTTCATTGTTCAAAAGATAGTAACTTAAGTTATTTTTTTTCAAGTCTATTCAGAATAAAACACCGTATCACGTTTTATAAGAATAATTGAAGCTAAATTATATTATATGAATGAATAAGTAACAAAACTATTGTACTTACACTTTAATAATTATGGATTCAAATAAATTTAAATAAAAATATCATTAGATAAAGAAGTCGTGAGTTATATTAAAAGTCAAAAAAATTACTTTGGATTCTAAAACAATGTTCATACATTTATGTTACATAAAGATTACATTATGTACACGACAATGAAAGAGTTATTATCTTATGGACTGTTATTCGATACATTTATAATTTTGTTTACATCATATACTCTGAGTCAGTTATAAATCGTCTACTTTATGTACCACTGGACTGACGTGTCATAAATACGATACATAAAACGTGGCGGAGAAGATGATGGCCCAGATATATTTAAATCCAACATGCCTTTCACACGCAGAGACTACCGACATCACGTGGCCTCAAACAGAGAAAGGATTTTGTTAAAAAAAAATCAACATTTTTTTACACACAAAACTCAATGGATGCCAAAAGGGAAATGACAACAAAATTTAACTCTGACAATATCTTCAATGGTCATGATTTGAAAGATTTCTATGACTATCGTTAGTTGTTATCATAGTGAAAGTGAGACTAAATAAAACAGCTGGTAATCAAAATATAAAACTAAAAACAGAAGGGGTAATTATAACAGTAATTTACATGTTATTGTTTTATAAAGTTTTGAATTTCCGGTGTAAGAAGTATACTAAGCCGGCAGTGAGATAAATAGCATAAAAACGATATAATATTGTATCTCATTTTTAACATTTAAACCGAAAAATTAAAATTTGAGTATTTTAATTAGTAATTATTACTAATAATCACATTATTTTATCATTAGGATACATATTATTTATTTTGATTCAAAGTTCAATGGTCGATTACAAATTAAATATCCTTGACCGTCTCTCAAGGTCACTCATCATATTCAATAAAACATCTCTTCTATGGTCAAAATCTTTAACAAATTATGTGAAGACTACATAAACTATATCGCGCAGTCGAACGTTAAGGCAAACTCCATCATTTTCATATCGGTAATAATTCTAAGACAGCATGCCAAGAACCTCTAACTAATTAGTTTTAAATCAGTGAAATAATGAGTACATTAATACCATTAATGCGTATACCATATACATGTCATAACGTTACTATCAAAGAACTATTATGATATTTAAGTATTCAAATAAATAAATATAAATAGCGATCGATTATAAGGAATACATTGTCCTGTAGAGCAGAAAGCTCGTTGAACTAATTTCTTTTTTTCGCTATACAAAAAAACAGGCGAACAAGAAATATTAGGCATAACAATTATTATAATTTTCGTATTCAATTTAAAATGTAATAACAACTTGTTTCCGTGCCTGCAATAGCGGTCATCAAGCACAGTTATTATTATTATTATGAAACGTGGAGTGAACATTAAAAAACTACAATATAAATACAAGTAATACCCCTCGTAAAAAATTAACGTCCACCCGTTTCCTGTACACAATCGTCTCAATCGATACTGAACACATGTTTATCATGCTAACGATTTTAAACGGATCAAAGTCTGGTTACTGCAGTAACACCGCTATAGTTACAGCTAAAAGGAACTACAATCGAAATACACACGCTCATTATTGCATTGAAAAATACAAGATCGGCTATAATTATATAACTACGTAGATAGTTGAATGTTATAATTGTACATTAAAATTAAAAATAAAACATAATGTTGTACAACGGATAGTTGTGAGACACTGAGTCTAAAATGTAACGGTTTACGAAACGGAGGTTTAAATTATATTCAACAAGCGTCTACAATGATCTTTATTCTACTATTTCTACTGATTAATTGTCACATATAAGCGTTTCGGATAAATTTAACCAAAATGTATAGGAAATAATTAAAAATTTTGTTCAATCGTTATTATAAGAATTGTTTAGGAGCGCAGTATAAGCGAGGAAGTCCGGATAAGATGGATGACAGTGACGTGTTTCCTCTGTAAATGTCATCTCCGATCGTTCGAGTAACTCAATAAATATCGTTGCAGCGCCTCACCATAACCACTTTCAAGTTTCTCGTTTACTAAAAGGGATCGGTTATCATTTAATCGTGCCGAATAGAATTGCAATGGTCTCGACAATAACAGACAATATATAAATAATAATACTTATAGCATTATTTAGTGTTTAGTATAAATATATAATATTTAGAAATAAAATTGCGCACGCGGATTTAAGGTAAATGCGGGTCATAAGTGAACACACTTATTTATACCCCACGAATTATCACTTACACGGCCATCAAATCATATTACAAAATGAAGAGAAAAAAATCACGAAGATGCCTCTCGCTAGCACATACCGTATACAGCACCTACTACCAACGAAATACCTAAACAAACTTACATGGTAAACGTTGAGTGTATATTATACACTGACGCGTGGGCAGGTGTGTTAGGTTAGGTAAAATAACAATAATACGCATGCGCTGTTAGATAAAACCACATTTCGTGTCCCTTATATGGCGCACTGACTCGAATAACAGCAGCAGCAGCATCATCATCAGCTCTGTGCGGACCGGATTCTCGAAATCTACTGTTGAAGTCTTCTGTTAGTTGGCGTAATTTGTTGCAGACGACGACGGTCATTTCGACAGTGGTACGTAATAATAATTATTAATCGACCATCACGTTTGTACTGACACACACGCATAACGCACCGGCGTATAAATCGTAACCTCAGTTCCCGTTGCCCGAGGTTAAGCGGTGGTCACCTTGAGCAACCCGAGTACATGATATAACGTAAAAACTGCCGAGAGGAAAAGGAACGAGTCTTTAATCCCAATCCCCAAGTCCTCGAAAGAATGAAGTATTTTTGTTGTGAGATCATTAGTTGCTTTACATACATATATTATTTTAATATTATATATGATCTTAGTGGAGCAGATGTGATTTAACTTGAAACTATTTATTTATTATACGCATGTGCGTGGGCATACGTACACACAAACACACACTTATACTCTCATATAAGAGCTTAACGATAATAAACAAAGTAAGCCCCAACAAAATCTTTTTTGTTTTTTGTATTGTAACATTGCCTGACTGGAAAATATTACGTTTTCATTTTACACGCACTTACACATAATGCATTAGATGTATATCTGTGGTACAAACTAGTTCACGTTTAAAAAGTTTTATATGGCAATACATTCAAACAAACATGATTTTGAACTATAAAATATTAAAATTATATTTTACTAGTATGTATAACGACAAAGTTATATATTATAAACGACAAAATCGATTAACAGAATATTTTATCAAAGTTGTTTTATTTGAATTTCTGCCAACTTGATTATTTCTTGATTTAATTTGAATCTTAAGATATCTTCATTAATATTATACATATATTCTTACTAGAGTTAATAGTGAGGAATTTTCCATTTTTTCCCCTTTCATCCTGATACAGTGATATCGCAGCTTAAAATTTGTTTTATGCTTCTTTAATTTAGAATGTACTAATTTAATTTTGCATTTTGTGCATTTTATTTTTTGTTTTTTAATGTCATTTTTTAAATATTTTTACACATTTTAAGTAATTTTTTGTAAATTTTGTACTATAAGAGGGAGGGTTTTTCCTGAAATTTAAGATTTTAAAGAAAATTTGAATATTATTTAAAATACTAATTTTATTATTATATGGGGTTTTTGTTGTGATTAATGTATCACGTACCGATAAGATTTATCCAATGCCATCGCAAGGCCCTAGGCAAATGCAATGTAATTTCCTTACTCCTAAATATATCTAACTATTTGAACTTCACAAATTGTGGGCCTCCAAATTTACTTTAAGTGCGAGGTTCTAGGTAATTGTCTAAGTTGTCTGTCGGCTAACGAAGGTACTGGATTTAACGTATGCGTGTTATCAATAATATAATATAATAATATTATTATAAAACAAGAACTTTTTTACACGTACGCCGATCATACACGCTTATCGAGGAGAAGATATTCCAGAAGATCTAACAACTGATGACATGATCTACTTTAAGAATGACCGTTGATGTTGAGTGAAGTTTTTCATCGTTCAAACATTTACTAACAGATCGATTGTTTTATGTTTGAAAACATCAGATACGTTTTAACTGTACAGTGCAATATAAAAATTATAATATTTTTAATATAATTTTTTTTTTTATCTCTATATTATTTTTTAATGTAGTTTTAATAATATAATGTACCTAATACTTAAAATTTAAATGCATACTAT